TGGGTAACTTACAAAAATACCATTAAAATTAAAGTTGCTTGGAAAAATCATAAGAAATCTTTTTTTTTTTTTTTGAAGTAAAAAATACTGCGTGATATTAAAAAGTGATACAATGTCACTTTTTTATTTTTTTAATAAAAATTATCAGTTTTGAATTAAAAAAAAAGTGACACAATGTCACTTTTAAAAATTAAGTATCACTTTTTTTTATTAAAAAATGATATACAATGTCATTTTTATTAAAAATTGATGTTTGTCATTAAGAAAAGTGATAGAAATAAAAAAAGGTAACTAAAATTAGTGATAAACACTAAAAAAAAAAAAGTGACAAAAATCCAAAATAAAGTGACGCACATTTTTTTTTAAAAAAAAAGTGAAAGATAATAAAAAATTGACACACTCAAAAAGTAACAAAAAAAAAAAGTGACACAAATTCCAAAAAAAAAAAATTACAAACACAAAAAGTGACGCAAATTTATATTTAAAAAAAAAGTAACAGAACATAAAAAAGGTGATAAACTCTCCAAAAAAGTAACGAAAATTCAAAAAAAGAAAGTTACCAAAATTCAAAAAAAGGGACAATCACTAAAAAAAAGGTGATAAAAATAGTATGATGGTGGTTTTCTCATTGAATAATTAGTATATATTTTATCTGTTTAGACTTTTGATAAAAAAAATTCAGTAAAACAACAAATTTTCAAAAAAGTGAGATTTTTGTTTTTTAAGCGACAATCTCTTTTGATAAAGCCTCAACAATAAAAACTCCCACTTTTAAGTCAAAATAGACCACCACCACGCACTCCCACGATAGTGATTTGTATACTTGCCTCTAGATTTACGGTTTTTTTCTTTTTCTTTTATCCTTTTATTACCCTTCCCTCAAAAAAGGACCACATAGAGAGTATTTGCACTCTCTAAACTATGATGGTCGTGATCAAGGGTGTGGATTTATATCCATACCCTTATCTAGAAAGAATAGGTTACCAAGGAGACCAAGGAAAGCGCTACTCCAGATTGTGTCATTTCCTGCTTTACTAGCAGAGCTTCAAATCAGGGGACAAGGGATTATGGTGGACAAAATCATAACACAATATTTGTAGCTTAATGCATAAGTCAAATAAAGGCTAATGGATATTCGTAATCATTGTTCTATGAACTCTACAACATTTGCACCACGAACACGCGTTCAGTTTAACAGCAGATTAATTCTCAACACACAATGACCAATTTCGAAGTCACGGAGCCAAAAAAAAATTGGTTTTGATACTAGTTTGTGGCGAAATCATCACCAAATAATCAACACAAAGTTAGTTATATAGTCAATTGGCAATGAGAATTAACTAAGTAAATGAAATAACAATAAATTACTATCAAAACTCCAATTGATTGGCTCCAAAAGTGGATGAATCAGGGCTCAGATCAAGGGCCCAAAATCACACAGCAATATTACCCAAGTTGGACCAAAATTAGTCACTCAAAGATCACAGAAGAATAATCTAAGAATCGGCCGAAACGCTACACACTAAGGCAGCCAAACAAGGACAGTGAACGAGGCAGTAAGAAGGAAAAATAGCACGGGACAGAGGCCAAAGTCTGGTGCTCAAGTGCTGACTGAAGAGAGAAGAAAGTTAGCCACACAAAGGAACAAAAGTCATGGCAGCCATGAAGAGGAGCAAAAAGAGGTGCAACCAATTTATCTCAAGAAAAGCCAAAGAACCTATGTGTGATAAATCACCCAGATTTGGCAAAGAGAAATCACTTATTTAGGGATTGGTTGGATTGAATTCAGGGGCGGACCCAACCTTTCTGGGTTGTGAGGTCAAAAATCAATGTGTAATTTTTTAAAACAATACAATATTAATGAAAATAATTTAATACGTATTTTGATACCTTGAAAACGTCTTATAATTATATTATTATCAATATTGTTAAATGAATTTTGTTACATGTATAGATTTATTTACCATGTCATTTATAAATGTTCAGCTAACGACGAATAAATCAAATTGGATGTAGGAAGTAAATGAATTGAAATAAAATTCACATTTAATTTAGTAAATAAATGAAATTTAAGTTTAATGAAAAAATAATTTGAAAGTAATTCAAATTACATTAATCCATAACGATTTCAGAATTTTTTTCATGTATAATTTCCTAATAAAATGATGTAAATTATATTGAAAAATTAATCGTGCAAAAATAATAAACGTTAATGAAATAATTAAATTTTTTTAAAAGAAAAAATGAGTTAAACGTCTTTTTTAGTACGTACGTTTGACGCATGTTTGACTATTTTCAATATTTATTTGGACCATTCGATATGACTAAGATGTATTTCTCGAAACGAACTTTTAGATGATGTAGGCGATTTGTGGATTTGGATAGTATACAATCATTGGCAAATTTTTAAAGTTAGCATATTATCAAAATTTTCGAAATACTAATTTAGAACGGTCTACTGATACATCGTAACTTTTACTATGATTGATTATTTCACACACCATTAAGAAGCGAAAAACTAAGTTATGAGCGCTTCGAAATGATATTAAGAATGCAATGTTTCGAATTTATTTAACATGTATTAAAATAGGTCGTAAAATTGTTAAAACTACTATTTTCTATAAAATAAAAAATTAAAAAAAATTGTGAGGTCATTTGACCCCACATGACCCCATGTAGGTTCGCCCCTAGTTGAATTGCATTCATCTTTCTTCTGAGAATGTATATTGTATGAGTAATGAAAGTTTACAAAGTGAAACGGTAATTATCAATTTTTTAATTAATGGGCCGTATTGGGCCCAATTATCCCTTTCAAGTTTTTTTCCTTTTAACTTGGGGCTTGGGCTACTACAGCCTATTTACAATTGGGGGCGGCCCAAAATCCAGTGTAGACATCTGCCTGCATTGGGCCTTCAATGGGTCCACTCCTGGAGGTAAGGTTGGTAAGGATGACAACTCATTCAAAGAGGCTGTGGTGCAATGGACGTGGTAAAATCTCCCATAGCTAGTCTTCGACGGACAATGATTTATTGGATCATTTGGTTGAGATTGTGGTTCAAGATGTTAACGCTAAGAGTTTCCTTCTTGAAAATCCTACAAAGTTGCTAGTATTCTACTCATCGGAATATCAATTGAATTCATATCTATAAACAATTATCTCGTGATTTGTGTTTTGTTCAAAATTGATGAATATTATTTCTTAAGAAGTATATAGCAGAAAAGGCTTTGATATACCTAGTCATGAACTATGTCCATATAACAGATAAAACACCCAGTGATCAAGTGGAAGTTAATTAGCTCCTGTTTGTCCCTCATTTTTTAATAAAATAATATTACACGTAAATTCAAAATTTGTCCTTAGTTTTTAATCACACATTTGCCAGCAATCTACTATTCAAAATACATTATTTCCCCCCAAAATGAGAATCGAACAGGGCTTAATTTAATGGGAGCCAAACGAGAATTTAATTTTCCACACGGTCACACTATAGAATTATATCAATAGCTACTCTATTCAATAAGTGTAGTGTTAAATTACTTCTATGATAAAGACAAATCGCAATCCCAACTAGTAAATCAATCAACACTATAACATTTAACACATGATGTCAAACATCATACAATTATTACTCAAAATTTTATTGATGTTCAAAACATAAGCTGTATCTCATTGTGCTTCTTTATGCAAGTAGTCAACTTATTTTAATGCATTATGCTTTGTGTGTTGTCCTAAAATCCAAAGGAATTTAGCAAATTGTTCTCAAATTTTGACTCCTTGAGTTGCACAAAGTCCCCAATCTCTTACTAATTACTACAAAACATTACAATTGTTGCGGGACTCATGCAAATCAAATATAGTCCGCTTGGTCCCGCAACATGTTGAATTACTTCATCTCGTACTCATTCACTATACAAACGTGTTGCACGATTGATTCGATTCACACGTGAACTAGTTCGTGCAGTGGGCTGCTGCGCTACTATAAGTCTAAGTAGTAGGGGAAACATCATATGGATATGATGTACACATTTGGAGATGTACATGATAAAATCGTCGTTATTGAAACCGTGACAGTTGGCAGCTAACATTGCAAAATTGTAACGATAAAAGACAACAACAATAACAACCACAAAAAATCAGAAATTAGCAGCGAAGATTGCATACAATTAGTAACAATGAATCTACTGAAAGATGCATTTGGATATTTAATCTAAATGGCAAAACATTGTCTCTCCAGAATACTTTCAAACGTCTGGTGAGAAAACATCATGCATTTGCATAGGTGACTCAACAAACCGAAAACTACAAAAAAATCGTAACCACAAAAAACATCTACCATTGTAATTTAATAATTTCGTTAATCAATGAACAAACTATTTGCAATGCATGTAAGGATTTTTTAATTCATCAATGAGCTTATATGTGTGAATAATTGTGTGTTAAATTAAAGGCTATTAAATTCGGTTAAACCCAATTAAAGAGTCTAATAAGGCTTCGGTTTTGGGTTTTAATATATCCAATTAAAGTGTGGGTTTACATATGTGTAAAGACCGAGCTCAAGTCCTAATTCTATGATGGGCCGAATTATGTCAAAGGACGTCGCTATATAAATACGGTTATAGTCCCCAGATCACACGTACATATTATTCATTCTCCATTGCATTACATCACAGAGAGAAAAAGAAGACTGCGTGTAGATTTGGAAGACCATACCGCAGGATTCAATTATTGCAAATAACCATGTCTGATTCAGGTATGCTTCCGCTACAGTTCTTCAATTTCTTGATGATTTAATATGAAAGATCCGATGATTTAATGTAATAAATTATCCTACAATGCATTCATATCTTTTGTAAGCTTCTTTATTTGTTTTTCTGTCCAAAGATCGCGTTTGCAATGTTTACAGTTAGACCACAAAATAGGGGAAAGGTAGTTTAGCGGAGCAAATTAGTTTCGAATGATGCCTCTTTTGTGCTACCAAGAAGGTGCCCGAATGAAAACAGATGCAAGTTTTTTTTAAATATAATTGAAAAAACAAGCATACACTTTACAAGACACATAAAATCAAGAGATGGCATATATATCTGGACTCAACTATTCGACTTCCTAGAAAAAGCTTATTGCTACGTAACTGCTAAAACACTCAAGCCAGGTTAATCACATTGGCCAGCCTCTCTTGCAGCACGGATAGATCAATGCCAGCCGTTAGATCACTAGCCTGCAAAAAATGATCAAATACAAGGGTTAAGATTATAACCACAAAATTAACACTAACGAGCATCAATATTCCTATGTTAATTTGTTACCTCAATCTGGATCCTATAAATTGACTTCTCATTTCCTTTTGTAGTTTCACAGCTAACAGCATTGAGTCCCATCTCGAGCAATTCTTGAAGCACTCCAGAGAGAGGGAACCCTTCTGGTTTGAGGCTACTGCTGATTAGAATCTCCACACCATCCCTAAAAGGGTTCACCACTATGCCATGAGTCGAACCAATCCTCGAGCTTGCATTCATAGCTTCAGCGGCGCTGAAATTAGATGAGCTCTTTAGCTTGTCTCTTCGTGAACTTAGTTCTTCAATGCTAGTTTGCATATGCTTTATGTAATTCGCAGCCTCGTGCATGTGATCGGAGACTGAGCGTTTTCCCTAGAACACCACAAATATCATATCAGATACATGTTAAAGAGAAAAATTACAATACTGTTGGACTCTTATGTTGATCCGAATGAATCATTCTTTTCGCAGAGGTCAATCTTTGCCTGCTAGTCAAGAGAGTATTGGCCAATCCACTTATAAAACGTGCCAAAATGAAATTTTGTTACGATATATATACATGTACCTTGATGAATTCGAGAGGAAGAAGGGATCGAAGAGAAGCACAAAGTTTTTTCATTTCTTGCCTTCGTTGCTTTTCAATCTCTCTATGCACAACTTTCTTATTCTTGATCTCATTGTCATTCACATCCTTGTTTTCTTTAACACTTGCAGATGATTCTCTTCGCCTCTTTTTTGTATCTTTAGTAGCACGGCCACCCAACAAAACATGATCTGCAAGTAGCTCTTCGAGAACTTTATCATCTTCGAAAATCGAAGGGTCGGAAAAGACCAGCTCATTGCTTTGTTGTGTAGGAAACATCTCAGAAAAATTTCTTCGAGATCCTCCAACCTTCTTTCTTGGAGTTTCGAAAGAGAAAGTTTATTAATGTAAAAACGTGCGCGCACAAAGAAAGAGAGGAGAAAGAGAGTCCCCTTCTCTACAAGAAAACACAGGTAACAAGAAGGCAGCTATCACTCCCAAAAATCTAATAAGAAAATCTTCGACTTCAGGACGAAGCCGGATACGGTTGTTTAAAGGCAATATCGATTTGAGTGTGCCCTCTAGCTAAAATATTCAACACCAAAATCTTAAATAAACAATGAGATACAAATAATCAAACTTTCTGTATTTAGACTTATATAGAGAGTTGGATCTAGTGATGGCAAAAAAATCCCGTCCCGCCCCCGTGAAGGAAAAAATTAAAAAAAAAAAAAGATTAAAAGTAATTTTATTTATAAACAATTCACCCGCTAAAAACCCATTTTGAATTTATATTTTATTTTCTAATAATAACATAACTCGAAACTTCGAAAATGTAAAAAAAATAAAAATAAAAAGTTAAACGGGGTAACAAACGAGACAAAAAGTTATCCTAGCCCTGCCACGGCCCGTCTAAGGCAAGGGGGCAGGGGACGGGATAGGATTTGCACGAGACGGGACGGGGTGGGGCCCCACCCCACTCCGAACCCACCTCATTGCCATCCCTAGTTGGACCTGTCTACCAAAGCGACAGTAATCTATCATGTGACAGACTCATTGGGGTGCAAGAAATTCTTCATTTAAACTTTAATCTAATTATTATTATTGGCACATGTATTTTAACTTTCTCACTATGATTGATCCACTAATGAATGTTTGCGGGAAATGGAATAGTGTTTCTGTTTGTGACTCGTTATTATATTTGTTAAATATCAAAAGAAAACAAGAAAATATACACACGTTTGCTAAATGGGATCTTCAAAATCCTATTGATGGTGGAAATTTTCCTCATTAAACTAGCCTATAAGGTGATTGAGACATAAAAGATTTATAAAGACAAACAAATTACAATTATTCAACCTTTACACACATGCTTTTAACTAAAACATGACTAAAAATTAATGTTTTTTTTTTTTTTTTAATAGAAGCTGATTGGTGTTTTGAAATTATATAGGCGCCCATACGAAAGCTAGCTACTCAAACAAGTTGTCAAAAAATGAGTGATTTGCTTCAACTGGTTTTCAGGGTGAGCCGATCAGTTCCAAATTTTTATCAAATTTTATGTTTTCAATATTTCTAATGTGATCGGACTTGAATTCTGGACATGTTGCTTGTTTTCTTGGTCTCATCCAGTTTTTATAAGATTGAATTTGAAAAGTTTAATGTGTATCGCTAATGGACTTTATATACTTGTAGCAAATTTGGTACGCTAAATGTTCACGAGTCAGTAGAATTACGAAATATAAGACTTATTCAATCCAACTTATACCAAACATTTGCTATTTTTTGAATTGAATGATTACCTTACTTATTTACAGTTTTTACCGAAATAAGATAATACTCATATAAAGTATAAAAAGAAGATCTACCATTAGCATTCTCAAGAAATGGGACATGATAATGAGTGTTCTAAATTTTATTAGAGTGATCATGCAAAAGATAATGAAATCGTGCCCTTTATATTAGGATATTAGGAAAAGGTTCTTTTCGTATAGTGACTATGATGTCTATAGAAAAGCCCACTTTTTTTCCACTTGTTGTATTTTATTTTTTATTGATATTAATGATGTATTTATTTCATTTAATGTCATTTTTCGTTGCTTTCAACAAAGAAGAAAAAGACTCGTATCAAAATTATTGATTCTAGATCCAATCAAGTTTATACACAGATTTCTATTTTTAATTTTATTTATTTAAAATGTGTTAAAATCTGGTTAATTAAAAAGTAATATAATTACCATAGTTAATAAAACATGTTTTTATGTTAAATGGTACAAGAAATCAAGGCGAGCATATAAAATGTGTTAAAATCTCTCTTGCATCTATAATATTGACGGTAAATAAGAATACAAACTAAACGAGCCTAAAAAATGCATTCAATGCACTATGATTTTATTTAAAGAATTTTAAGTCGCAATGATTGAATTCTCACAATAAAATAAAACAAGCAACTAAAGGAATTAAAAAGCGAAGAAGGGAATAAAACGCCGCCTGATGAATAGGGATATCAAACGGGTTAAGCGTCTAGTTGACTGGTCAAAAGTGGGCTCGTGGGCGGCAAATCACGAGCCTAAACCCGATCCGAGCACAGACTCGCCAAACGGGTGAGCCGCTCGTCTGCGAGCCCACGGGACACGGCTCGTGCTTTTTCCTCAAAACATTTGTCTATAAATATCAGCCACAATTTTTTTCCCTAAAAACATTTGCCTATAAATACCCTCACGAGGCTCACCCATTTTTATCTTCAAATTATTGGTTATTTATTTCTTCCGCTTCACATAATTACAATTTCCTTACCATTCCAATTTATCGTATTCCACATAGATCTGAATCTTTGTGGCATACGAGAAATTGGATCTATCTAATACATTTTTTAGTTTCCAATTTTACGTATGTGACAGCTCACATCAATTGGTAACAATTATTTTGGAAGCATTATTATTGTGCATGAAGCATTGACAAAATGCTTATTTTTTACTACAAAATAATTTTTTTAATTTGCCAAAATTACATGTCGTTAGATAAGTCATAAGTGATATTTAATGCAATTTTAATCATATTAATCAGAATTTGTTATTTTATAATACTGTTTTTAATTTTCCTTAAAAAATTGTACATGTTACAACCTACAAGTCGTTTGTGTACAATTTTTAACTTCACCTATTCAAAATTTAAGTTGCCGGTCTCAAACTCAGATAAAATAGGAGAGTTTGTATAATTGTATGTTCTTTTTATTTATTTAAATTTAAAAAAAAATGAAAATCGACTAGCTCACCCCTCATGTAGCGAGCCGAGCTCATGTGTTTAAGCATTGCCATCTCTACTGTGTTTAAGGGCCCTTGTGCATGCAATCATCAAAGAGATTTGGAATTGGTGGAAACTGAGTTTTAAAATTCAAACCAGTTCAGTAGTTTAATAAGTACATTTTCTACTAATTTTTTTGTATATAAATTGAGCAATTATCTACTTAATTTGTGTAAATTATGTTAATTTTAGAAAAAATCCAACTTGAATACAATTTGTGTGAAAAAAAATGCTGTGTAAAGCTTAATTGGAGTTGATTCGTAGCAATTAAAGATTAATTGGATTGCAAGTAATTAACTAAAAGTATTAACGGGGCATTCGGCAAAAAAATTCATAAGTTTTGGGACTTTAAATTCAACATTTGGAAAGTTTGGAATAAAATTGCAAAGCTTTTAAAACTTGGATTGGGTCAATTATTAATGATTTTGGGATGAAGATGCCTTAATTGCAAATATTAGAAGATAAAGTGCAAAAGTTACATAAGAAAATGAGTACAACTGAAAAAAGTGAATTATTTCTTTTTTCTTTTTATATTCTTTGTGGAAACCAATTTGAACAAATAAGATTTGTGGGCTTTCATTAGACACACATTTTTAAGCAGAGGCTTAAAGATTTATTGTTAGAAACCTCTTGGAAGAGGAAGAATCAAGAAATCAATCAAGACAATAAAATTTCAAGGTTTTTACAAGGAGAATTTACAATCTTGGTCTAAGATCTTCATCCTTTTTCCATTTTTCTTAAAATCTGGTAATGTACTTCCCCTTCTTGTACTTTTCTTTTCTCATGATATGTGATTAAGTAACTAATTAGGATGAACGATTGTAATCTAATTTTGAATCTTAATTTTAATTAAAATGTTTCAAATCTCTAATAGATGTGAAATATTTATATTTCTATTTTTAATGATTTGGATAATTGGCCACTATTTCATTGATTTGTTTACAGCATTGTAAAAGTCGATAATTAGCATAAAAGTATTGATACACATTTTCTAGTTAATGCGTTCATTACATGGATTCTTAGAGTTTTGGGTCATATAATTAAGGTTTATCCAACTTCACATAAAGATATGGAATTAACTTAATTAAATTAAATAATTTGAACTCGAGACAAACAAACTAAAAACTTTAGAAGAATTCGATCGGTACACATAATTAATTTTTATAATAAAAGAAAATTGGTAGCTGAGATTAAAGGAATAGATTTGGTGAACTCGTGAATCTTAAAACTTAACTATCGTATAAAAAATCCACTTTTATTGTTTTATTATATTTAAAACTAAAAATCACGAAAAGAAAATAATTACTTCTATTTGTTTTCAATCAAATTGAAGTTAGGAATAATTTAACGATCTGATAGATCGTAATCATTGTGTAAACAATAATTCGAACTCTTAGATTTACTTTATTATTTGTTATGATCAGTGCACTTGTGGTATATAAAATGGATTACATGGTTCAGTTGGAAAATTCAAGATCCGACCATCAATTCTGTACGAGTCACTTTTTGTGATCGGCCAGATAAATATTGATAAACCCATCAGTTTTCTTTAAACACCAGTGATCCAAACCAAATAACCCGACAAGTCATTGTTAAATGAAAATTTTCAAATTTTATTCTGTGTTTGAATAGTGGTTACAACTCTAGGCTTCAATTTTCACAGTTTTCAAACTTACTTCATTGCTAATTGTTTTTTCTAATATGAATTTCTTTAATTTCATCTTGTAAACCTTTGATCTCCTTGAGTTTTGGGGTTTTTGAACTCAAAGAATTGGAGTTTTTTTAAAGCTTGCGGTCAAGTTTTCTGTCAAAATTTTGGCATAATTTTCCTCTTTTAGAGGAATTTTAGTTGTGTTTAGAAGCCAAATTGTTTGTGGAAAAGAGTTGAATGGAGATTCCGATCTTTCTTTGGTTGGAAGGTACTTTTCGATATGAGAACATTTGAATTTCCCTAGTGCCAACCTATGTTTTTCTTTATTTTGAGGCTCTTTTTTTTAGAGTGGAAGTTTATTTTAGATTTTTCTACCTTTTTAGTTGTGCGTATGACCGTATTTAAAGACAAATTTTTTTATTTTTTTATTTGGGGGGGGGGGGGGGGGGGGGGGGGGGGGGTTGGTCATTTTATGAGTTGACATACAGTCTTCATTGTATTGAAACTTATAATTAGGTCCAATTTCAAAGGTTTTGTTGAAATTTTTTCCCAGTGACATTTTTCAAGCAATTTGTTGTGTGCAAATGAGTTTGTTGCACCGAAGTCTAGATTTATTCCATTAGAATTCATACTAAGATTTTCGTCCA